ACAAGCAGAGCTCTGAATCGTGATATGGTTGCAAATTCAAGAGGGACATGGTCTAGGCACTTGGATAAATACCTTGAAACTGAATGACTTGTTAGAAATACGGAGACGCAATTTACTACTTGAACCTCCCTAGCAGCCAGAGGGTCACAGGTGAGCGGCCAAAGGTTGTTGGAAAAGTTTGCGTCCCACGTGACCAGGGCGCCTTTTCCAACCACTTAGCGCCATCTCGAGCCCGCAGCGGTTGATGGAAAGCCTGTCCAGGCTGCTTTTCAACCCATGCCCCTTCACACGCCCTTTCAGTTGTAGGGATGATGAATGTATGAATGCCGCTCGTTTGACTAATCATGCCCTTGCTCATAGACGAAAATTGCTCTGGTCAGGTTAGTCTGTCAAAATTGCGCTGAGCAAACGCGGTTCCAGAAAACAAATGAAGGCCAGCACAAAAATGCATATTTACGGGCAGTGCCTCGTTTTGCTTTACCTGGGACTCATTTCCAACTCATGCCAAGGGTTGATTGATTGGTAGACAGAAAAGTGGCTTACCTTACGGGCTCACAGTGGCAGAAACTCACTCTAAACTCGTGGAATACAAGAAGTACATAGCTGAAACTACTTACCAGCACTGCTACGGCAACTCCTTTTCCCGTGAATCCTTGCGCCCACGCCTCCGGGATCAACATATTTGGAGGTGAGGACCACTGAAATGAACATTCCAAGTGTAAGTGAAAAAAAAATAGGAAAAAAATGCTTCACTGCTTACGGGAAAATAGAGCTCATGTACATGAATAAGTTTATATGAAACCAAAAAATAAATGGCGAAGCAAAACAAAAATAATGAAATAAAATAAAGTTGTTGTAGCTTCCTGAGCGGTAACGTCATCGTACCGATCGTAATTGTTCTTCGTATAGTGGATCCGTGAACATCATTGCCCTTTTCTCGCGATAAAGAGGAACCAGGTGCTCCGCCCATTTTATCTGTAACTGAATGTTATTTATTGCCTGATAAAAACGTACTTTAGTGGGTGGCTTTCGCTACTGTGGAAGCTTCCGGATCTAGCTGTTATCTAATAACATTACTGATGATGAATCACTTTATCAGAATTCCGGTCCTTAATGGAAATACAGTTCTCCCTGTAGACGCGAGGGCGTGTTAGGGTAGAAACTGCGGGGCCAGCCTGCTCTGCACCATTTGTTGGAACGAGCTAGCGAAAATATTCGGTGGAAAATCAGCTGGCGCCACGCCAAACCCAGCCATTCCCCCAGCTAGGTTA